TGCTTGCACAGGTTCTGCGCGATCCTCTTCACAAATATCCTCTGCGTCTCAATCAGGCTCAAATTGATAAGCAATATAGACGACGTCATTGTTTACAATACAACCGGAGCACATGCCGCTATGTTGAGGGGCGGGACGTTTAGACGCACGCTAGAGGCGATATAGCCAATCACAACACACTGGGCCAGCGAATCAATCAGAGCCCATCGTGTATTTCTGAGGGAGGGGCTTCATAAAAGCAGGAAATGATCAGCGCGTTCAGAGGAGAAGGGACAGAGCGGTGTGGAATAAAGGTAAATTATGTGAAAAATAATGCGTTTTTTAACAAACGAAGCATTAACACATGTTAGACTGCACCCCATAAACACAATCAAGCCTATAAAAAAAACAGTCAACCACCCCTTTAAAATGACTTGCACTAGAATGATATGCATTCATACATGGTTATCAAGTTTTAATTGTAATTACTAAAGTTCTATCATTAAATAATACTTGATTATCATATTATAATGCTTGACTGACTGATGTTAAGAGTGTACTTTCAGATATTTAAAAAACTGTGCCATTTTACAATCATTATATAGTCTGGCGAGTAAACAAAAAAATGTACTAGCCAATGGCAATTCAATTGCCAAGGTGTCCGTAGAGGATTGTCCACTCTTTCTTAATGTTGGGATCAAGGCAAAGACTATTTTTTCCACAACTTGGCACTGAACAGTGGCTTCTTGTCTGCTTAGACCCACGTTCGGTGGGCGGGGCTAAATAGGCAGCGATGTAGAAGCAGGCATTGATCTTCTTCTGTGGAGGTGGTGCTTAGCCACACTATTACATCATAGAATGGTACATTCCACAACCTGTCGTTTTGTCAGATTGGCTTCAATATACGCTGTTTTTAGACTAACAATATAGTTTTGAGATCTGAAACTTACAGGATGTTTTATAGTACGATGACCTCTTATATTTAAAAAGATAAAGGGAATTTTGATTTCTCAGTACATGACTCCTTTAAATAAATTATAAAAGATTTGTCTGAAGCTAAGTGGTGTTGATGTTAAAGTCATGTGACCTTGGCACAGTTTGTTTATAGCATAACTTAAGCTTTTTACTTCTGGCAAGTATATTTATGGTTTGAAATTGATAAAATTGTGTTTATTTGTGGGAGGGGGGGGATTTCTTCATCAATCTTTCGTTGATGAAGAATATATGTAGGAATTCTGCAATAATTACAAAGGCTAGTGGAAGAATCTGTACATGTACGGCTGAAGAGGCGGAAATGAAATGAAAAAAAAATGAAAATGAAATGAAAAAATTATGCCCAGATTGCTTTTTTGATTGGACAAGTACAGACAGGACAGGAATTAAATTATGTAGTAGACCGCTCTCTAAAACTCTAGAATCAGTGTAATTTACATACAAATTAGAGACATTCATCCTTATGCCTTGACATGACTGAAGGCCCTGTTGAAAAAAAATATGCTGGTAAGGTATGTTTTGAAGCATGGTAGCTGGTTTGAGCTGGCTTTGAGCTGGAACTAGTTGCTCAGGACCAGCTTAAACCAGCTCAAGACCAACTCAAACCAGCTATCATGCTTCAAAACATACCTGTTTTTATTCAATAGGGGGAACAGGGGCACAGGGCATATCATACTGATTTCTGCATTACACAAAAGAGTCAAACTGAACCTAACTATAAACCAAATAAATATTTACATTTTGTTTGCCATCTACTAACACACAATATCCTGCCTGTAATGTTCCTACATAAATAAACATGAGCAACATTATGAACATGTGAACACTCGACCCATGCTGAGCATGTGTAACCAACCTGTGAGCACTTTGTGCATGAGCCAATCCCTGAGGAACGTCCTGTTGATGATGTCCCATAGCCAGTCAAAGTGGGTGAGGATATAGTGGACAATATTAGGACTGGGCTTCAGGAGCCGATAGACTCGAGTCCAGAACTCAGCTGAAAAAGACAGAAGAACAATACAGGTAGAGAGTGTGTGTTAATAAACAAAGAGAAAGTGCAGCTGTGTGAGATTATGAATCCCCCTACATTGGTACAATATATGCACAAAACATGTGGACATGTGTATGAGATATCCTGGAATTTCTTTGAAATCTTGAACACAATTTGGACTGACACTAATTAAGCAAACAAATTATTCCAGAATACAAAGCTATTTTATAAGACAAGCATCATTGTTTTTTTTTTTCATTTTGTATCTAACACAATCATCCTATCACGATAAAGAGCTTATGGCAATGTTCATGGAACTTTCTGCAAATCCTTTAATTGCGGCAGATCATTTGTGCCAACAAGTTGAGAGAGACAGGAAATAGAAACAGAAAAAAAAGAAAAGGAAAAGGAGACAGACTGCAGGGCTGCCTGACAAAGACATGGGGGTTTGTGGGAGAGTGAAAATTTGACAACATACAGTCAATGAGTACAGTACAAATATACAATCAGAATGAGATAAAAGACAAGATACATACGTATAGTGCAATTTTCCCCATAGAAGCCTGTTCTGGTGCAGTCACATTCATATCTGTCCAGGCCATATCGAACACAAATCCCTCGGTTTTGACAAGGGTAATAGCAACAAGGATTCACTAGAGAAAACAAGCCATAATACAGTTAAATTTGTAAAAGTTTCCATTGGTGTTTTGACTTTGAATGGTTACATTAACATCCTCCCCAGCATTCCCTAATGTATTTCACTACAGAATTCCAGGCATAGTTTAGATGTGAGATTCTATCTCATAATTACGCAAGTTACGCAACCATTACGACAAGCCTCATCAGGGCCATTGCATCATGTTTTTGTATGCAGCTCTGAGAATTTTCAAGTTAGTTTTTTTTTTTAATTACATCTTTTACACACTAACTAAAAGATATGCATTAAGCATTCATGCCACTGGACAATCATGTAAGCATGACTGAAATGGCATGACCTTTGCACTATTTATTTTCTATGAACTGCAGCATTGTTCAGTGGTTTGTTAAACTATGATTTTGAATACATTTCTCGCAACACCAGTCATTTATTCTCCACACTCTTATTCATAAATACAAGACGCCATCATATCTTTGCTCATGATGGCTGTCAGTGGCATGACCTTCTACTTCTCTTGACAGCAGTATGACAGACACAACCCAAAAATAGAAGAAATGTTGAATGAAATGTGGTTAGTGTGCACAAATTGTGCAACAGATAACCAGAATCCCCCCCTCTCTCTCCAGTGCTTTCCATCATTGCATTATACAACAAAATCCTCTAGTCTTCTAGCTCATACACAAGCAACTGTGAGCAGAGAAACACAACCATTACCGGACACAATTTAAAACAACCACTAGCATATCTATTCCTTAATCTATTTACCAAACACAAACAGAGAGGCTGATGCAAAGATAACATACACTTAACTTCCAAACCAAGTTCAGACTTGTTCATTGCTGCTTACACATACCTCCACGAGGAGCAAAGGAAAGAAAGTCATGCTGGAGAGCTGTGATGAAGCTTTTGTGTGCTTTAACATGTTTAATAACACAGACAGTATACAGAATATGTTTGCTACTTATACTCAAATCATTAGCAAACATTTCCCGCAAATTCTAAACATATGGCAAAACATATATGGTAACACTCTGGCCCATATCTGTTCAGCCATGCCATATCTAAGCCATATATGCCAGCTATCGGCCACATTTGGCCCAAAGGTTCTTGCTATCTGGGTTATCATTATTAAAGAAGAATAATAAGATGAGGAATTAAAATTAGAAAATCACTTGTAAATCTCCTGAAAGCACAAAAATGACTGAAGAAATGACTTAATTCAGTTCAGAAAACATGAAAATAAAACTACATTTTAGTTATACTAATACACTGATATCTATGAAAAAGTAACTTTTTTTTACATTTTATTTTTATGCCTGGATAAATGGATTTATACTTACCAATGTCTGATGAAGCTGGGCTTTCTTCACCGACACATAAGGAGAGACTCAGCAGCAGGATAAACGTCCACTTCAGTAAAAAGCTAAACGCTACAAAGCGAAATATCTGGCTTGTCACAAAAGTTGATATATTTATATATACAACTTATAGGAGTATTAAAAATGCTAAATGCTCACCTTTCATTGTAGTTTGGAACACAAAAAGTAATAAATACAAAAATATGATTACAATACGAAGAATTCAAAAGCGGTGTTAAAGAAGCAAAACACTCCAAATAAATAATTCCGTGTCGTTTATCTTCACATGCAAGGCATAAAAGCATGCCAAAGTCTGTTCGTGCACTGATAGAGACTCGCGGACGCTTTTTGCAAATTGATGAGAAAAACTAAAACAAAAAAAAAACACTCGAAAGGAACTTCAGTTTTTAGAGTGGAAGCAAAGCAACATGAAATTTCAGACCAAACTCACGTTCGCACCAGACCAAACTCAACACAATACAGAACAGAAAAGTGTCTTCTAGCAGTGGTTCTAACAGTTTAGAAAGCCAGTTGAGAAGAAAATACAATTCCTGGAGCGCCACCGTGTGTCTGAGTCTGCTGAGCAAAACTAGACGTACTTGAATAAATAAGCGCGGCGTTCGGCATTTTGTTGTGTTTTATCTTATCCTAATATTGTCCCAATAAATTCTCTACCTACAAAGAAAAAGAAACCCTGCATTGGAAAAAGCTCATTATGCATCCAGTTCCAGCAGGCAGGTGACTTTAATTTATAGTAAAATCATTGCTCACCATTCTGGCTGAAGGGCTGATTTTCAGGGAAATTGGATGGACACAAAAACTGCCCTTTTTTCTAAAAGTAAAGCACATGGCATGCATGTAAAATTGAACGACAATGTAGGCAATCACAGTACGGCTGATTAAAAAATTAGGATCTAAAAACAAAATTGGTAAAAAAAATAGGTGTGAACTTCTTCACACACTTATCAGTTTTGGAACCAACTAACACATTGTAAACTACTGAAAGAAATTTCCCCACTAAATGGCTTCTAGCTCCTTGGAAAAAAAAACAGTTAAAAGGGACCCTCAAGTAAAAAGCCTCGCTAACTTTCACAATCAGACTTTTTACGATCTCTGGCTGCTCCACCGCCCCAATCTCTCACACTCTTCTGCCCCTGCAGGGTAAGTTTCTCATACATTATCCTATTGTAAACATGTCCTGCACCTCCCTACCTCAAAATCACAGAACATAGCCAAGAAAATGTCTTCACAACCATCAGTTCAAGAGATTTGAGCGTTTCAGCCCTTTTATTGGTTCAATGTGCTTCTCCAGCAATGATCAAACCATTTAATATTTTTGCACATCATTATGGAGACCTTCATAAGGTAATTGCTGAAAAACCCATCAAATCTGATGCTGTCAACTTGAACATTATTTATGCACCACAACAAGGACTAACAGGATACTGTTGAATTCTTGAAATGTGTTTACAATAATAATTTTAGAGCTGCTATACAGCTGAACATATTCAGTCCCATGCGTGTTTAGGAATAACTGACTCTGGTCTGATCAACAGGAAACTATATGTAAACACCTTTCTGGCACCACTACTTTGTCCTCAGTTGTATAATGAATTATTTGCCATTTAGGAAGGACCTTTATTAGTTAAGTGACTGCAGAACATCTCCAGGATTTTTTTTCTTTTTTTTGTGGTGAGACATGTTTACACATCTTTCCAAAAAAAGAGAGAAGATTCTTATGGTCTTAAAAAATGTTTTGATGTAATGACTTAAGCTTAAATGATAATGAAGGTAAGTGCTTCCCAGGATGCACTTCATGAATGTCTTTACTATATTCTTTTACATATTTCCAATATAAATTCCGGCACTTTCTTCAATGCCAGAGTAAAAATCATGCCATGTCAGTATCACACACCCAATCAATGCAAAAATAATGAATAAAATGTATGAGATAGATAGATAGATAGATAGATAGATAGATAGATAGATAGATAGTTTCAAGAAGTTTCAAAGTCCTTGTGCATCTTCCTTCAGGATTACCTGCAAAAAAAAACACTATCAATGGCACAAAGCATGACTGAAGTCCGTTTTCCAAGAAATGGTAGCTATTTTACTCTATGTCTATCAGATTGCACATTCCTTTGTTCCTGATATAACATGTGTTTGCTTGTTTTTAATAACGCGTATTTTCTAGTCTAGCTTGGCATCTAATGCTCACGGGTTCATTTAAATTATACAATATAAGCAGAAACACCGCCCCAATCTCTCACACTCTTCTGCCCCTGCAGGGTAAGTTTCTCATACATTATCCTATTGTAAACATGTCCTGCACCTCCCTACCTCAAAATCACAGAACATAGCCAAGAAAATGTCTTCACAACCATCAGTTCAAGAGATTTGAGCGTTTCAGCCCTTTTATTGGTTCAATGTGCTTCTCCAGCAATGATCAAACCATTTAATATTTTTGCACATCATTATGGAGACCTTCATAAGGTAATTGCTGAAAAACCCATCAAATCTGATGCTGTCAACTTGAACATTATTTATGCACCACAACAAGGACTAACAGGATACTGTTGAATTCTTGAAATGTGTTTACAATAATAATTTTAGAGCTGCTATACAGCTGAACATATTCAGTCCCATGCGTGTTTAGGAATAACTGACTCTGGTCTGATCAACAGGAAACTATATGTAAACACCTTTCTGGCACCACTACTTTGTCCTCAGTTGTATAATGAATTATTTGCCATTTAGGAAGGACCTTTATTAGTTAAGTGACTGCAGAACATCTTCAGGATTTTTTTTCTTTTTTTTGTGGTGAGACATGTTTACACATCTTTCCAAAAAAAGAGAGAAGATTCTTATGGTCTTAAAAAATGTTTTGATGTAATGACTTAAGCTTAAATGATAATGAAGGTAAGTGCTTCCCAGGATGCACTTCATGAATGTCTTTACTATATTCTTTTACATATTTCCAATATAAATTCCGGCACTTTCTTCAATGCCAGAGTAAAAATCATGCCATGTCAGTATCACACACCCAATCAATGCAAAAATAATGAATAAAATGTATGGGCTAGATAGATAGATAGATAGATAGATAGATAGATAGATAGATAGATAGTTTCAAGAAGTTTCAAAGTCCTTGTGCATCTTCCTTCAGGATTACCTGCAAAAAAAAACACTATCAATGGCACAAAGCATGACTGAAGTCCGTTTTCCAAGAAATGGTAGCTATTTTACTCTATGTCTATCAGATTGCACATTCCTTTGTTCCTGATATAACATGTGTTTGCTTGTTTTTAATAACGCGTATTTTCTAGTCTAGCTTGGCATCTAATGCTCACGGGTTCATTTAAATTATACAATATAAGCAGAAACCCCCCCCGAATTAATAGTCTTTTCATTATTTTAGTCTGGTGAAAAAAATCACCACCCCACTAGCCATTGACTGACATCGACCCGGGTTCGATCCCGCCTTTTGCCGAAGTTTTTTTCCCTCCCTTTTCAAATCTCGTATTAGCAATGGATTCTATTTACACTAAGTGAAAATAGCAGTATTTTTAGCAATATGCTATTTACACTAAGTGCAAATACCTAGTTACACTATGTTAAAATAGCAGGATTTCTACTATCAAGTATACT